AAAAAGTTCAAATTGGTGGTGCGAGCATCACAGAACACTCACTCTACGTCCCTTGATGCTGCTCCAGCCATTTACTGCTAGTTTAATACTGGTATGTAGGCCAAGCCCAACCACATACACAAACATAGAAGAATATTTACTAAACAAGCTATGAGGATGTGTTCAGGAATTGAAGAGATTAGGAAAACCCTCTTCCCACAAACAGGTATTTATAAACTAAACACAACAGTGAAATTGTTCTGAATTCCCATATACTTTAGACCGTACCTACGCCTAACATTTTAAGGGAAAAGCAAACATAACGGCGTTGTTCAATTTAACAGGTTTCCCAGAACCTGCGGCTGTAATCATCATACCAGTTTTTTTGTTTTTGCACAGAGCACGATAAATATGAATAATCACAAAGTTTGCTCAAATAAATGGCTGTGTACTTAATTATAGTGAGTCTTTTATAATCATTCATTGCTATAAATAGCTCCATCCATGCTTGATATAGGGACTGAAAATGGCTGCTAGTGCTGTTGAAGGGCTGATGGAACAATGTGTTTCATTTCTATTTTATATTTTACAGAACTACTGAGAAAAATGCACACTATGATATGTTATCTGACTCTCCAATGAAAATATAAACAATTGCTTTTTTATGCAAAGGAGGTAAAGGGGAAACTAATTTCTCCCAATGGATTTACCACCTAAAGTACTGACAGCCACTGTTTAATACCCGCACTGAAAATAATATGAAGAATGGATAGATAATATAAAAGAAACGTGTGCATCTTGCTCATAGTTGGCCTTTCGTGACTTGCATTCTCACTAATAAAGTTGGACACGATGCGAAAAGTCAACACATTCTCATTCTAAAGTCATTACATACAGTATCCACATGGGCTCAAAAGTCTGTGTCCAGCTGTTTTCTGAAGTATTGGAACTTGCTCTGTAGCTACTCAAATTTTCATTTATTCTCCTGAAACAATACATGAAAACATCTATGACACTATCAAGACACACACTGACAAGAAAATATTTTACAGTGCACGTTTTAGCAACACAATAGAACAAATCATAGTTGTTGTTAGAGGGATTTGTGATAGACATAGAAATAGAAGGCATGAGATTTTAAAATCAGCATTGAGCAGGGTCCAGGAATAGAGTCAATTTATCTCGTTTGTGGAAATTAATTGCCAAGAAAAACTTTCCTGATCAGGAACTGGCAGCTGTGGGAGGATGGTGGTAACTGCTTGCCGGTTTGAAACAGCCTCTTCAGTTATTACACAGGACGGGGACGGGGACGTCTGTCGGGTTGACGAGAGCTTCAGTGTTAACATGCTCCAATTCACCTGTCCCCATGGGGCACAGCATACACCTCTGGTACGCAGTTGGCCTTTTCAGCTTCAGGAGTTGTCATCTATGTGTCTTAACTGTAGTGGATGCCCACTTTTTATCATAATAATCACTCATCTTAAAGGGCCCCTCTTGCCTTCAAAACATATCTATACTTTATTGCCTGTATGCACAGTGTTTTCAGGCTAAAGTGATTATTAATGATTTGTCTAAAATTGTAGTGCTTGAAAGTTCAGAAAGCATTGAGCGAGATATCTTGTATTTTATGGGCTCTGAGTTATGGTTTCATATCTCCCCTGGTCTACATTCCCTGTCTGAAAAATCTGCCATGCAAAGCTAAATTACATTTGTTCATGGTGTGTTTGACTGGCACCCACTATGTGCAACAGGCAAGAAGTAACTAAGTTTATCGGTGTGTGTTATATCATAATTAGAATTTATTTAGTCTTAAGCAGGTCCCCATTCACAGACGATTAACCGGCAGCTCAGGAAGGTGGGCAGTGCTGCTGCTGGGCAGTGTCACCACTGAGGCCTTATTTGGGTAATGGCTATAGGCTGGCTTGTTGGATTCAAACAAGACAAGTGAAGAGAAACATTGTAACCACTTGATAAAGCTCAACTCTCACCGCCTAAATCTTACATGCAGCCGTTATTACAGCCACATGAAGCTCTACAGTAGTGACTGACAACTTCAGAGATTAAACTGATTATTGGCTTTTACTTGAGTGAAACCAAAGTCTAAAGTTGCATCAGTGCCATGAGGTATAGGCAGCAAAATGTGAACAACAGCCTAATCTGATTGATTAAGTCACAGCCATTCTTGTTGGGAATGGTATCATAAACACACAGGCGCGCTGTGCTTTCTTGTGAGTTAACCAATGGATATCATCGTTGCTGTATCCTAATTTTATCTGAGGGACAGAATGCAAACTCAATTATGTATAATTTATTTGATGCCTCACTTTTCAGTTTCCGTAGATAATGGGACATTTCCCTATCTGTTTTGAAATTGAAATGTAAGATTTTTCATGCCATTTTTCAGTTAAAATATACATACATACATACATACATACATACATACATACATACATACATA